CTTTTCTACTGTGAGGTTGGCCTCTGTAGAAGCTCTTCTGGCTTCTGAGGGGAATTGGGAATTCACAGAGCCTGAAGTTTTACTTTAAGCCTAAAAGCAAAATTTTAAGTTTTCAATTGTGCCTGATAGCTTTTTTTCTAAGTAGAATATATAGAAATTAATTCAGCTTCTTAGTTCATGATTCAGTGTACATAGATTGGGAAAAACTGGTTTTTAAGAAGAGAAGGAGATTCTGTTTTTCTTTTTGTGTGTCTGGCCTCATGGGGAGCTGGGGAAGCAGGGGAGCAGGGGGAGCTGTGGGAGCTGGAGGTGCTTGGGGAGCTGGGGTATCAGGGGGAGCTGGAGGTACTGGTGGAGCCGGGGGATTTGGGGGAACTGAGGGAACAGGGGGATCTTGGGAAGCTGGGGGACCTCGGGGAGTTGGTGGAGCTGGGGGAGCTGGGGGAGCAGGGGGATCCAGGGGAGCTGGTGGAGGTTGGGGAACTGGCCCATGCCTGCTACCTGTTTGGTGGCCTGGCCTGTAGTGGAGGACAGCAGTTTTTCTCTTTGCTGGGGGAAGAAGGGTGAGAAATGGAGAGATTTGTATTAACTATGAGGACAGATGTTTTGATTGTGATGGATTGTTAGAATGGATTCACCAGTCTTTGAGTAGCTTCTAATTTAGATACGACCTTCTGCCACTTCCCAGTGGGATTTTACAGACTGGTTTAATTGTTCTCCTCATTATTAGAGAAAATGAAGTACCTTGTGGTTCATTTTTAGAGAATTTGGGGAAAAGCAGGAAAAAATACGTTGTAGTGATAATAAAAATATCTAATACTATGTACCGTTATTATCCACAGGTTTTAACCACATTCTGCCTTATTTCTATGTGATTTATTTCACCATGTTGCTTGTCCACCGAGAAGCTCGTGACGAGTACCACTGTAAAAAGAAATATGGCGTGGCTTGGGAAAAGTACTGTCAGCGTGTGCCCTACCGTATATTTCCATACATCTACTAATGCTCTTCTGGCTTATCTACAAAATACTCCTGCAATTCCAGCTGCCATTTGCAAAAATGAGGAAAAAATCCCAAACTTTCTTTTGTTGCACTGACAGGATCTGTAAATTTTTTTTTCTTTTTGAACCAGGACTATAGAGCCAAGTAGTTGATCTTTTAATATAGCTGTGTTTACTTTTATTAAATTATAATTAACATAGGAAAAATACAAGTAAGGATGTGAGAATTTGCATTTTAATGGGAAATTTTCAACCCTTAAAAATCTGAAAACAGAAGACAGTCTTAATATAAATGTACTGTGAAGAATACTATTGATGTTTATGGTTTCTGATTACTTTTCAAATTTTGATGTTTTTTGGCCAGTTGGCTTTTCTTAAATGAAAACACTGTTCCATTTAAAGTACATTTATGTTTTATTCAGTAAGAAAATAGAATTTTCATTTGTTTTTCTTTAAATCCTTTACTAGTTATATAATTTGAAAGCAAAAAGAAGGGCCTATATTAAATGCTGAAAGTGCAGAGCGATGAGATTATTAGCAGACACTGTTTAAGGGAGACCATTTGTAGCATTTGGCTTAACCTCAGCTTCTAAAACTACATTTGAAAATGTAAATACATAGCTTAGTTTTATGTAATATATGGTGACTTCAGATTTTTTTGTACAGTATTTTGAATGTGAGATGATTGTCAGGACTGTCTTTTTAACAAAACTTTCAGTATTTTAAATAAAGTTTTGTAAAGTAATGTGAATTAAAAATTTTGGAACAATTAGAATTCATTCACTATTGTATAGAAGATGCTGTTAAAACATAGGAAGGGTATTTTTCTTGATCCAAAGTTTGTGAATTTGGCTTTGCTACCTCAATTGCAGGTGTTTGTTTGCCTTTATAAACTGTTGCAAATAGAAAAAAAATAGAATAAGTATATATTTTTGGAGTAACATCAATATTTAAACATTTTTACACAGATTGGTGTTTGAAAATTTGCCATGTCAGGCTAATATTTTTATATATTTTTGACTTTTTAAAAGTTCATCAGTGTTTTTGCTACTGTTAAGCTCATGCAGTTTATACTGTATTTTTTATATATCCTTTATATTTACAAAACTTTACTCCCTGTAAAGGAGTGCTATCTTAAAAACAACTTAAGGGGTTAAAGTCGTTTCTTTTAGTTTAATAGATGTGCATAAGGTAACTTTAGCAATTAAATTCTAGTGAAGTTGATATGGTCTCATTTTTAATTGTCCTATAATGGAACAGTAGCAAATTCACTAAACTTTTGTGTTCAAAGTTAAATTGTTCTTAGTACTTTAAATGTAGGGGAATGTAATAAACATAGTGTGTATGTTTGGGTTTTAATTACACATTTTATATATGAGCCATTTAGATATGCAGTGTTAATTCTACACTGCATGAAGTGTATGTAACTTAGCTTATGTTAATGCAATCATGAAGTTGGTTTGCTCTAGCATCCTGTAGTCTTTAAACATTCTTTTAGCGAAATTGTCATTGTTTTATCAGTGCTAATGTGTGCAAGCAGTTTTTTTATTTTGCTTTTATCCTGGCATCAGAAAGTGATGTCCCAGCGTTTTCTGTACTAGATTGCACCAAGGAAGCTTTTGGGGAGGAAGGAAGGACATTAAATTCTTTCCCTGGTAATGAAAAGAGCCCGTTATCAATACAGTGCTGCAATTTCTGGATATCAGCTACAATTTGTTTTTAATTTTGTTTTCAACATGTTTATTTTGCAAATTTTATAATGAAGTTTTAAGTTGAAAATAAAATGTAGCAACATTTTGATCACTTTGGAGCCTTTTTTTCCCCCCTCTTCTTGCTTGAAACTCTGGGATTTTTGGGACCAAGATAGGAGCCCTTAGATTCCCACCCCCACCCAGCCTCCTGTTTTGCTAGGATCATCTGTTTGGGACCCTGGCCAACTGCTGTTTATTTTAAGACTCAGAATGTTGGAACTCAAAGGGGTTAGTTGGGAGTCCTAACTCCCAGAAAATGGTCATGTGTTTAGTATTTGCTGTTTGAGAAAATACAGAAATGCTAAAACTATTGTAGATTCAGTCATACTTTCGAATGCATTTGTATGAATCACAGAAGCATCTGTGCATCTGAAAGACAGTACATGTGTGAGAGACACACACATGTACTATGCCTGCTGACCATGCTTTAGTGCTCGTTTGGATTTCCAGTTGACTCTAATCCTGAATTGTGAGATGAGATCAGACAGCTTTGTGTCTCAGTTCTTCCTGCTGGGACATTACATTGCGACATTACATTGCAAAATGTAGATATGTCAGAATATGCACCAATACCAAGCATATGATATATATTTTGGTCTTTAGTTTTGCACTGTTTGGAGCAAATGATGAAGTATAGGATTTTAACAAAAGATACAAGGTGGAGTGTTTCTAGGTGCAATTTACTTAAAGGTAGATGGTACAGTTTCCTGGACACAATTAAATACATGTTTTGTTCATGGCTGTTAAAGAGTCTAGTGCTGGGGACAAGTCCCACCTTTTCTACCCCCCTTACTATGGAGAGAAGGATCTTCATTTGTGTACACGTGGGTTATGCTTTCTGCCCATGGACCATTGCCATGATAAAGTGACAGTGAGATGTGGCTTCAAATGCTAGCTCTGCTCCCTCTTAGCAATGTGTGTGTGGGCAATTAATCTCTGAGCACTGGTTTCCTTATGTATAAAATCTGGCTGATACGTCCACATAGTATAGAGGGGCCTGAGGATGGTACAGGAATTATTAGTGCTCAACATAGTGCTCAGTTATGATAGCCATTATTAGTAGAGTAACATTCTTCCTATAGAAACATTGAACTTACCAAATTCTCAGGATTTGGCTTTTAGTAGGCAAAGAGGTCTAGTGAAGTCAGAACCATATTGCACTTTTTTATTTTTTAAAAAAGAGGTGGGGTCTCGCTCTGTTTCCCAGGCTGGAGTACAGTGGCATGATCATAGCTCAATGCAGCCTCAACCTCCTGGGCTCAAGCCATCCTCCTACCTCAGACTGAGTAGCTGGGACTAAAGGTGCCTCATCATGCCTGGCTAATTTTTTAAACAGTTTTTGTAAAGAGGGTCTCATTATGTTGTCAAGGCTGGTCTTGAATTCCTGGCCTTAAGTGATCATCTTGCCTTGGCCTCCCAAAGTGCTGGGATTACAGACACGAGCCACTGTACTCAGCCAGACTGCAATTTTTTTTTCCTTTTTTCTTTGAGACAAGAATCTTGCTCTGTCACCTAGGCTGGAGTGCACAGTCTCAGCTCACAGCAACCTCTGCCTCCCAGGCTCAAGTGATTCTCATGCCTCAGCCTCCTGAGCTGGGATTGCAGACCTGCACCACCACGTCCGGCCAATTTGTGTATCTTTAGTAGGGATGGGTTTCGTCGTGGTGGTGTAGGCTGGTTTCGAAGTACTGACCTCAGGTGATCCACCTGCCTTGGCCTCCCAAAGTGGTGGGATTACAGGCGTGAGTCACCATGCCTGGCCCAGACTGCATTTCTTTAAAGAAGAAGGCCCTTCTCTTTAGTTTCAGAAGTCTGCAGCTAGGTCAGCAGTGGAGTATTCTGTGTTTACTTAGAGAAGCCAGGGGAAGCATTCCAAAGATCTATTCTACATGTGTGTATTTATTTTATTGTATATAATTTTATAAATCATTTTTACCAAAAAGTTCATAAAGGCATGCCCTGATATCCTGTCAGGTGCTGTGCTTTTTACTGTTAGGAGAGTCAAATTTGCTTTATTGCGGGTTGTGCTGACCTGTACTAGAGCCCAACCACAGGGACATTGCACGGTCAGGTCTTAGGTACTTAGGATAAAACGCAGCTGCAAGATTCCCCTCTGGGTTGAAGTTTTCATGTACAAATGAAATAAAGACTGCACCTGTTCAGTCTGGCTAAACACACAAATACTTTATAAAGGGTGTTGACTACACGTGAATGTCTTGAAACATGTAAGTCTGGTTAGAGTCAAAAATTAAAATGGTTTGGTATGGACATTTATTTTTCATTCTTCTCACAAAGCAATGCAACCCGCATTGTGATCCAGTGACTAGGAGGTTTCTTCGTTGATAAATACACTGATGTTAAAAAGTTTATTGGTAAACCAGTAGTTGCTAAAATTCTTGACCTCTCAGGTGTCTGGTAAACTGGGCATTCAAAAGTATAGCATTCTGAATCTGTCTGGTTGGAAGCATTTGGTGTTTCGGTAGAAATCTTAAAAAAAAAAAAAAATCCAGTAGTCAAATTGTGTAGTTCAAGTGAATCAGTAGCTCACATTTTTGTATGCTATAGGCTTGGGGGATTTGTTATGAATTAGATACATTTAAGGTTAAATGGTTAATGTAACAGCCTGTGGAAATTATACTTGGAGAATTTAAAGAGTATTATGACTTTATAGTACATATTATTGAGAACATGGGATGTAAGTATAGCATCTACTTTAGATTTTAGTAACATTTTGGGGGATTTAAAATCTTTGTTGTCTGAGTATATTATCACATCTCCCTTGTGAAATTGTAGGGAATGGGAATAAGAGTAGTTTGTATATTACTGAAGGAACGCTCAGAAGTTTAGGATTTCAGGATAATAGCAGGGTGGTTACCTTTGTTGGCAAAAAGTGTATGTCGGGAAAATCACAGCACATCTCCAGAGGCAGCGAGTCTTCCAGTATCTTTTGTTCGCGATTCCATCTTGCCCCCTCGATGAATAAACCAAAAATGTAAACTCCAGTGTGAGAGGAATCCAAGCCCTAAGACGGAAGAGAGGTGGTGTCAGGGGTCCCCAGGAGAAGCAGCGACCAACCAGAGGCTCCATCCGGAACTGAGCCGATGCATCCAGAGGGGCTCGTCCTGCCTAAGGCATGTTGCCCCAAGTTCTAAGGTGAATGCTTCATTTTTTTTTTCCTATTCTGAGTGCTTTAAAAACGTTATAGGCTTAGGTGTATCTATATAATCATCCTGAACTGAAATATATGTATTTTTTCCATGACGCCCTTCCTCAGCATGAAGACAAATACCTTCAAACACAATAAAGATGCAAACTTCTACAACTGTAATTGTGTAGCCTAGCTTTTTAGGAGAGAGCAAGAACAGTTACAAAAGGTGACAGTACACTGTGTTCAAACGTCACTTACCTTTACCATAGTGGCCACAACTACTGTCAAGGCTCTAGAAATGTAAAAAAGGTAGAAGAGGGTTTTTTTTTTTTGATACGGAGTCTCGCTCTGTTGCCCAGGCGGGAGTGCAATGGTGCGATCTTGGCTCACTGCAACCTCCGCCTCCCTGGTTTTGGTGGTTCTCCTCAGCCTCCCGAGTAGCTGGGATTACAGGAGCACACCACCAAACCCACCTAATTTTTTGTATTTTTAGTAGAGATGGGTTTCACCATGTTGGCCAGGCTGGTCTCGAACTCCTGACCTCAAGTGATCCGTCCCCCTTGGCCTCCCAAAGTGCTGGGATTACAGGTGTGAGCCACCACGCCTGGCCAGGTTCCATATATTTTTGAATGATACAGGTTAAATAGATGATTACATTTTAATGATAAAGGGTTAAGTAAAATGAGTTTCTGATGAGGTCTGCGAAGTAGAAAATTTAGTTGCCTGCAGCTCCAATTCCAGGTGACTCCAGGTGTGCCTAAGGTGGGCCTGTGAAGCCACATGCTCTCCTACAGGTGTGCTGGAGGGATGCCCAGCCTGGAGGAGCTGGTGGCCAAGTACCTGGCCACCCTGGAGGGCTCTGCCATCTCCTCTGATGGGGCAGGTCTCTGAAGGGAAAGGGTGGGCACCGCTGTCCTGAGCTCCCCCTTGATGCAGCCTGGGCCAGCTTGTTGACACAGGGGCGGCAGTGTGGAAGAGCCTGTGCTGTGCCTGGTGACGCCTTCTGTGTTGTCCACTCTGGAATGTGACTACCTGGAGGTGCAAGCTGAACTCATATTAAGCACTTCCTATTTTGGCTTATTCTATAAAAGAATTTTGGCTGGGCGCGGTGACTCATGCCTGTAATCCCAGCACTTTGGGAGGCTGAGGCGGGCAGATCATGAGGTCAGGAGATCGCGACCATCCTGGCTAACACGGTGAAACACCGTCTCTACTAAAAATACAAAAAATTGGCCAGGCGTAGTGGTGGGCACCTGTAGTCCCAGCTACTCGGGAGGCTGAAGCAGGAGAATGGCGTGAACCCGGGAGGTGGAGGTTGCAGTGAGCTGAGATCACGCCACTGCACTCCAGCCTGGGCGACAGAGCGAGACTCCGTCTCAAAGAAAAAAAAAAAAGAATTTTACTGGGAATTGCTTTGTATAATGATTTTTACTTCTCTTCCCCTTAACTTATATAAATGCAGATTTTCCTGTGCTGCGTTTGTTCTAGTGTTGTCCTTTCCTAACCATCTTGGAAGAAGTTAATCTAACGCATTTGACAACGTCACTTCCATTTATACTTGGCGTAACTTGGTCATAGCTTACATGGGGTTTTCCTCTGAAAAACCTAAACTGTAGGTAATTTGTAAACAGCCCCTTTTGGAGTGATTTAACTCTTCAAAGAGCCACTCAGAATAAATGAAAGTAATCTTACTTCAACTCAGTGGAAGCTGGTTCTTTGTATAAAGCAGAGATAACTGAGAACATCTGATTAGATGGATAGAGGCAAAAAGTAAAGTTAGGCGGGCAGTCCATACTCCTGCACTCCCCCTGTGAGTCATAAGTAAAGGCCCTGGTGCACATCTGCCTCTTGTAGCCTTTTCATGTCTAATGGGTTATGTAGGAAGAGGTTAGGCTATGGGTGTAGAGTCAGCTAGACTTGGGTTCAAAGCTTACGATCTGCCTCTTGGAACCTTAGTTTCCTGACCTACAGAATGAGGATAATTTGTGAGGATTAAATAATGCAGGTAAAGAGCTTAGCACATAGTACTCAGTCATTGTGGGCTAGTAAGCATCAGTGCCATCATTATCAGGCAGATTGGGATCTTCTGGAGGGCAGGAGCTTTCTTTTGTTCATCTCAGTATTTCCAACAGTCAGAGCAGTTTTGGACCCATACTTTCAAGTGAGTGACTTAATAAACAGTTGGGTAAACCTCAAGTCGAAAACACATCTGAACCTGAGCTTTCGTCCACGTCAGTACTCTTGCCAAGTGGTCACCTGATTTCTCCTAAAGCTCCAGTGACAGGCCACTCCCTGTCTATAAAAGGACACTCCACCATCATCATCAATTTAGATCAACTGCATGTGTCTTCTCCTTGGGGCTCCCCCTGGTTGGAGTTCTAGCAGAATTAGAGTCTAGTTCTTCATGTATCACCCTTTTCAATATTTCTTTTTCTCCTCAGTCTTTTGCCTTGTAGGACAAACTCTCCCAGTTCCATCCTTCTTCTGACATGTTTCTAACACTCACTAATTCTGGGTAGTCTTGGAATCATCTTCAGTGCAGTCTGATGAGTGCTGAGGAGAGGAAGACCAGGACTGGACCAAGAGGCCAAACAGCATGAGTGTCCACCACCTCCTCCCACCCCAAATCCCAGAATGCATCTATAAAAGCACTGGAAAACAAGAAGTATCCCCAGTGGACCAGAAACTGTGAGATCCCTAAAGACAGAAGGCAGACAGGATTAGAATAAGGAAACCACCATTAATAATATGCACAATAAAAACTAAAAACATCACCCTCTTCAAGCCCCCCCACCCCAATCCTATAGAATAATATCACATAAAATATTGATACAAAAATCTTGAAAAAACATTACAATTAAGATGATTCAACCTTAGGATCTTTTAATAAATCATACTGATAAAAGTGATAAATTATGTGATAATCTCCATAAACCCTGAAAAGCTCTCTCATCACATTTAGCTTCCATTCTTCATTAAAAAAGTTCCTAATATAGGAATCATACCTTATAACAAAGTACACTCCAGATAGTTCTATGTAATCCACTATGTTAATGAGATAAAGGATAAAAATGATCTGATTATTTCAATAGAAACAGGCCCAGGCATATAGAATTATTTGATCTATGACAAAGCTGAGGTAGGGAAAGGACCATTTCAATGAAAAATAAATGGTGCTGAGTCAGTTGGGTACCCATATGGAACCAAAAGAACTTTGATCTCACCTCACACCATACACAACTCAATTCTACTTTTTTTTTTTTTTTTTTTTAACATATTCTCTGTTACCTTCTAGAAACGTATATTGCTTGTACCTCTCATTTTCTGATGATCTATATATAGTTGAGGCCAGGCATGGTGGCCTCACACCTGTAATCCAGCACTTTGGGAGGTCGAGGCAGGCAGATCACCTGAGGTCAGGAGTGCGAGACCAGCCTGGCCAACATGGTGAACCTTATCTCTACTAAAAATAGAAACATTAGGCCAGGTTTGGTGGTGTGCAGCGTGTAATCCCAGCTACTTGGGAGGCTGAGGCAGGAGTATCACTTGAACTTGGGAGCGGATGTTGCAGTGAGGCCAAAGATTCCGTTGCCACTGTAACTCCCAAGCCTGGGGGCGACTGAAGGAGACTCTGTCCAAAAAAAAAAACAAT